ACGTCCATCACTCCATTCCAGAGTCAGCACATGGATCTGAGCAGCCTGTGGTGGTCTCTCCATGTACAGCTTGATGTCTCTCCATGTACAGTGTGATCTAGAGGGGACTGCAAAGGGTTGAAGCAACCAAGCAACCTTCTTATTCTGACTGTCAGTACTTTCATGCTAACTGAAACAGGGGCAGAGAAAAAAAAAAAAAGAAACAGTAAAGAAACAAGCGCCAATTCTGTATCGCTCAGCAGTTTTGACTATTTTTCTCCTTCCCTTTTTTTTTTAGCTTCTCTCTGCTGCTAAATTTTTCCAGCTTGAAGCTTTACAACGACACTGTGAGATCATTTGCGCAAAAAGCATTAATACAGAAAACTGCGTCGATATTTATAATCATGCCAAGGTAAAAATAACCTCATGTGCTTGCATGTTATGTGTCTGTCATCATACTCGTTGGTCAGTTTTATGATAAGTAGTGATACATACATCATATGCTTGGTATGCTTATTATGTATTTAAGATTTGCCATTCATTTACTGGGACTGAGGGCTGATAGGTACCTAGTATAGTGACAGTCCTGAATCTTGTAGTGTAACAGCATCAGTGGCAATTTCTCACCCCCTTCCCTAAGCGTTTCAAATTCAATTTGAGTATACCACCATGTGGCAGGCCTCACCCTTATCATGTCAATGCAAACTGCTGAGTTATTCAACAGGAATCACCTAAGTGAATAAGACACCTCTCTTTCACCTTCCAAGCTGCATTTTCATGTTACGATTCCCTGTTTCCTCCTGCCTCAAGGTCATTGGGGTGATATACTCAATACTGGTGACAGCTTGTCAATATATAAAAATGCCTGTTGTGAAAGCACAATGTCTCAGAGCAGTGCAAGGATGGTAATGAGAATTTTGTGTCTTGAAGAGATTCATAGCTTTTTATTGGAATCAAATTATTTACTTAGCTTGTGAGGGGCCTAAGTCATTAGGCATAAAAGCATGACATTTTTTGACCTAGAAGACCTGTTTCTGCTCAGTGATGGAGGTGGTTGCCACATTGATTAGTTTGTTTTTCTTCTTGTGTGCTTAGGAGTTTCACTTGGAAGATGGAAATGATATACAAATAGGTGCAATGAAATATTTTTAAAGCATTCCTTAGATTTTTTTTTTCTATAATTTACGTGGTCTATATGAAACATAAAATGATGCAGCATGACATGGAGGTTTGATTGATCAGAGTAATCCTGCAGATTGCTCCAAACCCCTGCAGATCTGACCTCCATTCCCATCATCAGGTATTTCCTACAGAGAGTAGTAACGCTAGGTCTTGATGTACAGATAACGTGCAATCAGTGTTTGAAATAGTGTAGAGTTCCACCTATAAAATCAAGAAATGAGGTATATATCTACAGGTCCATTTATTATAATAGGTAAAAAAAATCAACAGTGCAGGTATCTTTTGAAAAATATTTGATGTATCTTCTAGCTCATGTGGGGACTTCTTGATTTGTATTACTGTTACTAAAAGTAAAATGAATAATTTTGTTTTAAAATCACATGTCTTATTTGAATTGTGACATGTGGTTGTTATACATCCTGGTTGAAGAAAGTTCTTACACGGAGCTTTAGACCTGTCTGAGGGACTTGTACACTGCTGGGACTGAATAAACACAGTGGCTAAATCCAGCTCCTTGTTTGCCTGCCCAGCCTGGAAGTTTTTTTGTGCCTGCATCTCACAATGGAAACAGTGTACTTGAGAGGCTCTTACAGCCAGGGTCATGTTTGCACTGACGTGGGTACTGAGTTGCAGATAGCCAAGGTAGCTGTGAATGAAATCTTGACTTCTGGAATTAGTTAAGCTACATCACCCTAGAGCTCTGCATGGGCTAATTTACTCTGCTTCCAGTAAATTATCAGGGCTAAGCTTCATACTGCTATAGCTAGAAGATTTGCAGGACCTGAACTCGCACATTTAAAGCTAGTTCAGATCCCTCTCTATGCTGTCTGCAAAGCAGAGAAGATGCTCCATCTTTTTGCTTTCATCTGTGTGATGTGCAGGCGATTAATCTGAGCACAGACCATTCTGCCCAGAGTGCTCCTCTCACACAGTAGCTTCATTTTTTTCTTATGTGAATATGAGATAATGGTATGTGGTGGAAGAGGCCAGATGGTCCTGATGAGCCAGGGGAGCTCAGAAGCACTTTAAGTGCAGCTTGCCAGCAAACTGCCTGCCTTTCCATGTTGCTCTCTGAAGTGTGGAAGAAGCTCATGTTAGACCACAATGAGGATGGGAATAAGGTGAGCAGGCAGTGAAGCCAGAAACCACTGCATCAGCCAGGAGCAGGTTTTGAGTAACTCACCTCTGTCGTAGGTACCATTTCTAGTCCTTGCTACTTTGCAAGCTCAGCTGCACTTGCCCGAACTCAGGTGAAGCTGAGACCTGCCTTACCAGATGGGGATGTGCAGGGAGGTTGACCCAGAAACACATGGAGCACGGTCAGTCATCATGATAGAGAGAAAGATACGATTTGGTGGAAGCAAAGCATGAAGTGAGCACAGATTTGGAAATCTGTCTGTGGTGGGGGCCTAGGTTGTAGAACAGTGTTTAGCAGGGTGGTGAGCTGTGTAAAAGGAGCTTTAGAACAAGAGATTGAGACCCTGAGTTAAAGAACTGAAGTACTGGTAGGAAGGTGAGATAGTGTGTATTTGGTCACATTCAGAATTTAAAAGCTGAATTGAGAGTATTAAAATCATCTGTGGCATCCCCAGGGGCTTCCCAGTCTCAAAATTGCAACATAGAATCATAGAATACCAGCTTGGAAGGATCCTCCAGGATCATCTGGTCCAACCTTTCTTGGCAAAAGCCTGGTCTAGACCAGATGGCCCAGCATCCTGTCCAGCTGAGTCTTAAAAATGTCCAGTGTTGGGGAATCCACCACTTCCCTGGGGAGATTATTCCAGTGGCTGATTGTTCTCATTGTGAAATTTTCCTCTTGTGTCCACTCAGAATCTCCCCAGGAGTAACTTGTACCCATTACCCTTTGTCTTTTCCATGTGACTCCTTGTAAATCTCCATCTTCTTTGTAGCCACCCTTTAAATACTGGAACATGGTGATAAGGTGTCCCCTAAACCTTCTTTTTTCAAGGCTGAACAAACCCACTTCTCTCAGCCTGTCCACATCTTTCTTGCATAGCAGGGTCCAAGACTGAACATGATATTCCAGGTGTGGCCTGACAAGCACTAGGTAGAGTGTGGTAAGGAGTCTTTATCTCTGCTGGTTGATGCAACCCAGCATCCCACTGGCTTTCTTTGCTGCAGCAGCAGCACACTGTTCACTCGTGTTGAGCTTGTGTCCACCAGGACGCCCAGGTCCCTTTCCACAGAGCTGCTCCCCAGCCAGGTAGATCCCAGCCTGTGCTGCACTCCTGAGTATGTTTACCTAGGTGCAAGACCTTACACCTGTCCTCATGAACTTAATAATGTTCATGTTTGTCCACTCTTCCAGCCTATCCCAGTCTTCCTTCAGGGTGGCTCTCCTTTCCAAGGTGTCCACTTCCCCACTCAGTTTGGTATCGTCAGCAGACTTTATCAGGTTATGCTTGATCCCACCATCTAGATCACTTATGAAGATATTAAACAGTATTGGGCTCAGCATCTAAAAAGGCAATCATTTAATTAGTATCACTTTAAGGGTTTCATTTATCAAAGCCTTTGTCACTGTTCTTTACTTCAGAAAGAAATGAAGCAACTGGGCAAACTGGATTTATAATGGTGATTCATTAGTTAGCACTAGATACCAATTGTGTTACACATGAATGCCCCCAAACTCCCAACAAAGTCATCTGGAGTTTCTAACACTTGCCTAAAACACCCAGTACTTCCACAGGTTGCAATCTGAGCCTCAAAACAAATCTGTAAAAGTACATTATTTCCTCAATCTTGTGAATATACTGAAGTAATGAATAGGGATGAATGGTGTTTCAGAGAAAAATAATGGATTCACACATATGCTGTCACATCTAGGTGCAAAATAATGCACTCAATTTGATGAAAAGTTGCATGGTATGAAGTCAAGTTAAATTCATTTTCCTTAGAAACACAGGTTCTGCCTAGCCCTAATCTGTATTTCTTTTTTTTTTTTTTTCCCTGAATCTTTTAGCAATTTTCATTCTTAGTTCTGAACATGATAAGGTGGTGGTGGGCAACACTGCTGTGTAGTTGTTCCAGTCTGGACACAAAGCTATTCAGTGCCCCAGCAGTTCTGGCCCTTCAGGCTGCACCTCACAGCCAAAGGTTCCCGCTTTACTCAGAGCTTGGACCTAGCAGGAGCTTACTTGGGCAGGACAATGGGCTGAGCACTGCTCTCTACACTCTCATGGCTTATAATTACACCTGTAGTGGAATATGCCAGCTGTACTCTTTGTAATACCACAGGATCTAGCCAGTGGGTGATGACCAGTACAGGTGGTTTAAGGTTTGCTCACACATTCCAGTATCCCAGCCTGTTACTCTGACACAGTGTCCAACATAGGGGAGCTACTGACAGCCCCAAGCCATGTGCTCTACAAACCTCCGTTTCTCCTCCAGAGGTTTCTCAAAGCATGAAACTTTGCATGACACAGGTTTCTGCAGTCGTATGTCCCATCCTTGCTAAAGATGGCATTTGTGAAACTTGGTCTGTAGTATGTTTTCCCAAACCTGTAGCTTTAGGATGTAACTTCTAGCATGAAATCACAGGTCTGGTGAACTCTGTGGCAAAACTCCTACCAACTTCCAGGAGAGCAAAGCTTCAGCCCCTGGAAGTTTGTCCCCTTAACAACCAGGGCCTTATAATATGGAAGTGTTACCAGAATCATCAGCATAAAATACTATTGATTAACTCCTTTCCCTCCATGCATACATGTCTGTAAGCATTACTGTGCCTGTCTGAAAGGCTTAGCTTGTGTATTTGTTTGTGTGCAGCTCTTATGCACTGTATTTGCTGAGTGGGTTTTAGCAGAATGGTTATCTTTCTCTAATTTCACTTCTTGTAGTTTCTCGGAGTCACAGAACTATCCTCCTATTGTGAAGGCTACTTTCTAAAAAATATGATGGTCCTCATTGAAAACGAAGCTTTCAAACAGCTGTTGTATGACAAGAATGGAGAAACATCTGGTCAAAATGTACTACAGGACTTACAGAGGACGTTGGCCACAAGGATTCAGTCAATTCATTTGTCTTCTTCAAAGGGCTCCATTGTGTAAAGCTGAGGAAGATGGTAACCTTCTAATAAAGACCCTGCAAGTTAAGTCTGCTATTGCAGTTGCTTAAACCCATTGCAGTTGCTTAAATGACTACAAAAAAAAAAAAATCAAAAAATTCTACTCCGCATCCAGATAGTTCTGTGTTGGCCAAAGGTGCTGTGCTGGGCGTGCATTTGGATGAGAGAATACAGAAAACAAAGCTCCTCCATGTTTTTGAGCAAATGGGGTACAAGAGTATCCAGTGAATCGCTGTTGTACTCAAATTCTGAACACACATGTGCGGTCGTGGAGCTTGTTGCCAACAAAAGCCAGAACTCACATCCGTGAACAGCAGAAGCCCTTGCCAGAGAGGTGGTGCTGGGGAACACCCAAAATGACCGATTAATCGTTTAAGGCGGATTTGTTCCAGTGTTACACATTTAAGAACTATATCTATCCTGGAGTCCATTATCTCGTGCATTTAAGAAATGTAAGAACTGTTATTGCTGTCAAGCAAAGATCAACTGTATTAGAGAGTGGGTAAGACTGTTACAGCTGAGGAAATATACTGGCAGATTTTTAGGGGTGGGAACTTTTTAAATTGTTCATAAAAAATAATGGGGTGGCCTTGTAGTTTAAAAACTATTTCTTAAGCTTAAAATTTCATTTTCGACAGATCTGTGTTTGAGAATCTATGTAACATGGGTTTTTTTTGGTTTTTTGTTTTTTTGTTTTTTTTAAATGGTAAAATGTACATTGTGTAAACATACGTATGACCAAGTTTTGCTTGTATTCTTTCCTAGGGTGGTATAATCTTGCCTAACAGGCTATGGTTACACCAAAGAGGTACATTACCCAGACTATCTCTAATACAGTAGTTGGGGGGGCAGGAGAAATGCATGCTACTTGTGATTTGGGGTTAAAAACAATGACAAACTCAACATGCATTTGCATGGTAACTGTACCTGTGAGATGTTACATTTGTGCTTCGTTTTGCCAAGACAAATGCAATGTTACTTCTTGTCAAACTTCATTTGTGAAATTAGCATATTTTTTTATTTGGTGTGATTGGTTGTGATACGATACCCCTGGGGACCCTTCTCAAGATGCTGGTTTCTGTTTGTTACAGTGAAGGGATAATAACAGATCTTTACTTCAATAATGTGTCAATACTTTGCTACTGGACAGAGATTGTGTCTGAGTTAGACTTTTTAAAATTATAATTAAATATGTACTATAGAATGCTTTCTCACTGTATCCTGAGATTGTATAGGTTATCTACAATGTAGGGTTTGGGTGGGGTGGGATGAGGAGTGTGATTTAATGTCAAAGCTTCATTTATTTTGCAGCATACTGTTAGCAAGACAAATTTGCAATGTGCCACAACATTCCTGATGTACTGTCTCTGAAAACGACAGCAAGTAATAGGCAAAGAGGTTGCTTTCTCGATGGCAAAGTGACATTAATATATTTATTTTCTAGCATGCTGTTCAGAAACTGTGCCCAGTTCATAGACTTTAGAAGTTTTATTTTGACAGTGCATGTTAACCTCTTGTTCTTTTGTTTAAGTACCTACGTTGGGTGCTCTTCCATGTTGATAGCTTTTGGCATGCTCAGAGAACACAGTTTTGGCTTTAGTTATCAACACAGTAGGAAGCTGTTTTATGACTCTGAGGTGTAAATCCTCCTGTGTGCTTGTTCTTTTAAAGCCTCTACAGTTTCTGCAACAAATTACAAAAATGTCTAAACCGCCAGTAATGTCACAGAGACACAGCATGTCAGTCAGTTAGACCTTTTTTTTTTCTGCATAGTAGATGTTCACACAAGACATTGTCTGGAACATTTAGGTGATGGCAACTTCTGTGTGAATGTTGCGATCTTAGAAAATTGAGACCATGGTTGATGCAGCAGCAAAACACAGGGGTGCTTGTTTTCATTTGGTGTGCCTCCCATCTGTGGAAACCCATCCTTCCATGCCAACGATAAGTAGTTAGGAGCAGACTTCACCCCACAGCTTCATGGCTTAAAATAGCAAAGTTTTTCAAACAATAGTAATGATACTTCAATTTTTCCCTTGGGTACATGTGTAGTGCCCAGAAAAGTCATCAGGAGTTGCATATGCATATATCCATAGGCAAAATAGCTTTTTTCTGGGAAACAAGCCCACAGGTATACCTGTGGATGGGCAGTCTGGCTTCTAATGCTATAATGATAGCCACAGGTGTTGTGTCCCTGTTTTTAGCTCAAATACTAAGTGTATTTTGGTAAGGGGATCTAGAGCCCTGTCTGTACCAGCTGCCCCTGGAAGGTGATGTCTTTTGAGCATCTGTAGGTACCTGCCCGGGACTTATTAGGAAGGAAACACTGATAACTCTCTGCTGGTCGTTCTTGTGATGAGTTGAGAGTATCTGTGGTAACATTCACTGGTTTTATTTCAGAGATAAAGGGCTTAATATGTCCTTTGGTGGCTCTACATAAACTGAGTGGTCACCATGTTTGAGCAAAGGCAAACATGAGCCAAAGACTCTAGCAACAGAGTACAGCTGCCTCCAAACACACTGCTCAAGTCTGCCAGCAGAGCTGTGTTGGCCCAGGCATTTGTGTGTCTCCTTGCTCTGTCAGGGGCTTGTGAATTGGGATGGCCGAGCACAACAAAGTGTGGCACCCACTGCTGCTGCAAGATGTGCTTTGCTGGTGTCCAGCAAATGGTAGGAGAGAACAAGCCCCAAGAAGCTATCGTTCAAAGCTGTTAAAGGGATTGCAGCTATTGGTTTATAAAGGAGTAACTTTTGCCCTTCAAAACACTGGTAATCCAAAAGTCACAAATACATAGCTGAAAGGTACCTTAACAAAAAATAATAATGAGTTTCAATTCCTTTTTGACCTGTGACCCCCATCACTTCTGCCAGCAGAAGAGCCAGCCCCTCTGAAACCCTGGCATTCATTTCTCCTGAAAGTAGTCAGCATACTTTTGTGGATCCACGGAGCAGAGTTTGAAAACTGATTTTAGTTCACCTCCCCTGCTGTGAGGCTGGGTGAAGTCTAGCTGAACCATGCCAGACAATGTGCAGCTTGCAGGCTTTTGAAATGTCTAGTGATGGGGATCCATGACCTTCACCACCCTCGTAATCAGAGAGTTTTCCTAAGAGGCTATTTGGAATTTTACTGCAAATCGAGCTGCTTCTTTTTCAAGCCCAGATTGACAGGAAGAACAGATGATCTTACAAGATCTTCTTGCAAGATTTTCCATGTATGAGAGGAATTATCCTACTTTCCTCACTAGTATAGTCTTTTCTAGTTCCTTTGCTAGTATTTTCTAAGTCTCTGATTTTTGCTGTCATTCCCCTCATGACTCCTCAGTTTCCCCAAAATGCAGGATTCCATCAGGGATTTTATACAGTAACAAGCAAAGTAGAGTAACTGTCTCCTGTGGTTTATGTAAAGCATATCAGAAAATATACCCTCGAATATTTTCTACAAGAACATCCCATGGTTGAATTTGTCTAGTCTGTCTTCTGTTGTAATTCCTACATGATTCACTGTTTCCTACATGATTTCCCAGGAGTTCACATTTTTATTTGTGCATTTGTTTACTACACCTTCCAAAGTAGAACACTTTCAACTTGTCTTTATTAAATTTGTTCTGCTTTAATTGGGGCAATTTCCCCACTTCATCAGGATCAATTGCAATTCTGATCCTGTCTTCTAGCCTCTTTCATAATCTCCAAGCTTTGTTATATTTGGCTGCATGCATGGATTCTTCATTCCATTAATCTGGGGCGGGGGGTGGTGGTGGTGGGGGAAGGGCTGTGTTGTCAATTTAATCTAAAAAGCAGTGTGAGTTTCAGGGGGTGCCCAGGAATACCATCCCTATCAGATAAGGCTCTCTCCAGCAGAGCATTTTATTAGCATTTTTTTGAGAGATGGTGTTATCATCTTAGAAAATAAAAAAACCTTCTGCTTCTTTAGGCTTTGTATGAGTTGCAATACTTTACAAATTTTGAGGGAAAATATTGCCTTCAATCTAGGTGAAATGGAAAAAATAGAACATCCTTCAAAAATCTTGTGATTTTTTTTTTTTTTTTTTTTTAAATCATAACTTTCCAGCCTGTAATGAGGGATGGGCTGTTTCAGTTCCTTTCCATCTGTCTTTTTTACAGTAATTCACTGCTGTAATATTTGAAGACTTACAGGCATCCTGCCCCTGCCTCATGGCAGATCTTTCCTTCTGCTGCTCTGCAGGGTCCTCCCTTGGTTTCCAGAATTTCCTCACATTTCCACTTTGCCTCATGTGCTGCCAGTTTCCACACTTACCATTTTTTTTCACTCTAGAGCCCTGCTGGATCCCTTCCCAAGCCCAGAAAAGGGTATCTGTGTTCTCCTGAATGGGTGGTTTTCCAATAATTGGCTTGAGAGCTGGGAAGAGAAAAGGATGGGGAATGTAGGAGGACAAAGGTTTTGGACATCACAAGGAAGGCTGGTATTCTTTCCACAACAGATTTCAGCACTGTCTACTTGTTTCTCAGATTTTCCCCTGATCTGTTCCTTATGCCTGCTGTCCTCTAAATACAGCTGGTGGCCAGATGCTCTCCATTCTGGAAAAGGGCCAGTTTTCTAATGGCTAAGACCTTTTTTTTTTCCCCAGCTAAAACTTTTGCCTGCTTGGTCTCAGCTTTGGAGTAGACTTGTGCAAATGTCTATTAAAGACAGAGGAAACATCTTTAAAGAGGTGTGAAGGCTTAGTAGCCAGGCTCCTATTGCACTAATGAGAGCTGCTTGCTGAATCCTCCACATGCTGCTTTTGACACTGAGCCTTTTTGTATCGAGTATCCACTGGCTTCATACCAAACGTTGCACAAGTCATGGATGGGCTCCAGTGTGTGGTGTGCTGGGGGCTTTCGGAAATTCTAGTTTTGTTTCAGAGCATAGTACGATATGCTGCTCTTTGAAGATTCAAAGAAGAAGGGAAATCCTCAGTTTGTACTGAAATAAACTGCTCTGAGGTGGTGCGGTGAGGGGAAAAAAAAAAAAAAAAAGCATCTCTTCTCCTCCCCCCCATTCCTATCTAAAATCAGAGGACAGTTCTTTATGCCATGCGATGCAACTAGGCCTGTGGGGACTTGGGCATGCAGGACCCTGTTTAAGTGGGGTTTTTATGTTGTAGAAAAATACAGGTGGTGTTAATGTTCGCACATCCACATACTCAAGGCAATGCTCAGTCTATCCTAGAGAAAAAGCCATTCCTCTTACTCTTCTCTATGGAGAAGCTGAGAACCTAAGTTGGTTGCAGGTTATTCAGTGTCCCACATGAGCTGGGTCTGTCTTAAAAATATTGCTGAAAGATGACATCCTGAAGCCTGCATTCACTAAAGCTGCCTCAAGTCAGTGGGTGATTTTTTTTATTTTATTTTTTTTTTAATGAACCAGAGTTACCTATAAAGTCAAAGACTTGAAGTTAGTTTGTTTGACAAAGTGTCTTTCATGTGAGGCTCTGCAAGTGCTTTACAGAAATGATGGGGGTGATGTTGCTTTCATCCTGTGGCCCGGAGATTTTGAAATACATAAGCATTAAAAAAGCTGCTTAGGATTTGTCCTAATATTTAATAAACTAGCTTGCAGAAATTTAGCTTTGAAATAGCACTCAAATAATATCTGAAAACCCACAGATGAGAACATCACTAATTTTAGATGTCTGCCTATAAGCACAACATTTATATCTCTAACTCGCAGCACTTTCAATCACATCTTCCATACATTTATAACAAAATTAATGTTTTGTTATTTTTTTAACTTGTTATTTATTTTGAGGTAAGGCCTGTTATCTTCAGTGCATGAAAACTGAAGCTGCCCACTCTGACCAGATTATGACATTTCAGTAGAATTGCACCTGACCTACTATTTATAACTGACCTCCAAGGGTAAAAATAGCAAAGCCAAGTCTTCAGCTGTGAGTCAGTGATCCATGAGTTCAATGAGACTGCTGCTGAAAACATTATAAATGTGGTGCCCAAAGCAGAGGCAAAGCTGGAGACCTGCAGAAGCTGATGGGCATTTGTCCCCTACCTTCAGTGAGCCTAAGAACTGGGGAAGCAAGCTTAGTGTGGATAGGAGTGGGTTATTAAATTTCTTTTTGTTGCCACTAAACTATGTCATTCTTTCAGCTTGGTTCAAGGCTTCTTGCATGGATACCCTAGTGTGTATTTATCTTAGGCACATGCAGAGAGCTCAGAATGTGGTAGTTGTAGTCAGTTGTCTTCATAGATGATGCTTTTTGTGCTTTGCTTGGACTGGTTGTCACTAAAACACCCAGGAGACATGCCAGCACCTCACATGAGAGATTTCATTGGCTGGATAGGTTAAATTCTACAAACATCTTGTGGTTTGCAAGCTGATTGTAGGTGATGTATCAGAACAGCAATTTTGGTGTTTGTTTTCCTTTGTAGAGACATTTTTCATCCTTCTTTGGGCTTACAGCTTTGTTTGTTCATCCTGCTGAGGTGATGACGCTGTGTGAACAGGCATGCTTAGTTTAGGCACAGGTTTCTGCCTGTGTTGGATGGCATGCTGGTGAAGAGCACTCAGTAAGGGAAGAGGATTATGTAGAATTTGAATGTCTGACCCCAGATCTTTGCCTTGGATTCCAGAGATAAGAGTATTCCCATTTCCTGCTTTATTTGTTTTCTAACTCAGCGTTTCCATGAAACCAAAGGGAGGGGAGGGCAGAAGACAGTGCAAGCAGAGAGGAGGAAGCAGCCCCATCTCCCAGCCCTTGCTCGCCATCCCCAACCAGCCCATTTGGCTTTGGTCTCTTTGGTGCTCACACAGAGGGTTTGCTTGGTCCCACTGCTCAGATATAGCTGTGTAGCTCTAGCAAGTGGTAGTTTTTCTTTGTCCTTTTAAATAGCTGCACTGCTGCAGCTGCAAGAGCGAATTTGCCTGAACCTCTTTGTGTGTGGTTAACTTTGGTCTTTCCACTTCCCATCATCTCTGCTGCTGTGTTTTCATTAAAACTTCCATTACTCGGCTTTGCCCAGCGCAGTGAGAGGCAATCTTGTTTCTTATTGCCTTTCTAAAGCAAACAAAGACAGGGAAAAAAAACCTCTTTGAAATACCCAATCAGAAATCATTCATGGTTTAAAATAAGCCACATTAGAAAATGGAGATGCTCAGACACACACACACACACACACACGCACAAAAGACAGCCACTTTAGAAAAAGCCAGTGCATTAGGAGGTCATTTTAATTAATTAAGGTCAAAACCTTAACACCTCATGTTCTGGCAGGGATGGATTAATGTGTTTCAAAACATCTGGACTTGTTCAAGCAACAGGTTTGGGAGAGTCCAGCCTTACCCTTTCCCCTTCCCAGCAGTGGATAAATTAACTATCCTATAGCTTACTGTGTGAAAGGCTTTCAAACAAGCCTTTCTGAAGTCTGGTTCTCTCTGTTCTGTGTAGCTTTTAAAGAGCTCACAGCATATCTGTGGGCTGAGATTTGCTCCTGAGCATGGTGGAAAGCCTCCTGCACCCCAGTGCTGGCTGTGCCTCACCGGCACAGAAGGTAGGAAGGGGCACAAGAAGCCCCTGGAGCCTCATCAGAGTGAAAGCTGCTACCCCGGCATCCAAGCTGGGGGATCAGATACCCTGCCTAACCTGCTCAAGCCTAGGTAGACCACTGATAGACAAATTTGGGACAGTAGGTTCAATACCATGGGAACTGATTTTTCCCTTGCAATTATTGACCCAGTGACTTAATTGTGCCATTTGGGAACACGGTAAAATGTGCAGTCTTCCTTGAGTTATGAGTTTATGTTTATCCATTGAAGAATACAAGGACTAAAGGAAAGTATCTGAGAGCTTTTGGATCTCATGTTCCTGGCTAAATTCCAATTAATACTAGAAAACTTGACCTGTTTAAGTCCCATCGGTGCATTTTGATCAGTATGTTGCTTCCTGTCCATATTTCTCTTGCGTGTTGTGCTCTATGTGCTGCACCAGTGGGGAATAGATGTGCCTGAGCCCTATGCATACAATAAATACGTAAATCCCACTTTCTGCAATGCAGGACATTCCTTCTACTGATGTCTTCAGCATTATGTTGAAGGTTGAATAATGCATCTCTGCTGTTTTACAGCCTCAAGATAAGGTCAATGCTCTATTTCCCCACTCTCTTCACTCTGCCAACTACCACACAGCAGAGTGGTCTGGATCCTGTAATTTTTGAATCATAGTATAATGAAGAGCAGCAGAAAAAAACCCAGAGGAAATACATTCTCTCTCTCTCACACACACACCCACCCACCCCCGGTAACAGGTAGGCTACTGGAGTGTCCTTCAGTCCTGCTCATCTGAAAGCTTGTTGTAATGCTGTTTGTGCATTAGTTATCCTCAAAGCAGGCTTTTGATGAGGTTGAAGTCTAGAAAGCATCTTGAGTCATTCAGGTCAGAAGTGGCATTGTAAAATAATTTCTGCATTTTCTGCTTCTTTGTGGTTTCTGGTGTTGCGCTTAGGTTTTTTTTTTTTTTTAATTGGGAAGAAAAGGTTAAGCATATGCAATGTTTTGGATTTTCTGTCCATACTTATCTTTGTGTGTTTGTATGATCAAGAGAGAGATGGACAGTAAACAGATCTACAGGATATGTTATGAGGCGTGAAATCATGTTTGTAATGAGATTTCTTGTTAATGGCAGTCAGCCTTCCTTGATGCTAAGCATTAATGCAATATCCATTAGTGCAG